TGTTGTTGTTTAGTCGTTAAGTCGTGTCCGACTCTTCGTGACCCCATGAACCATATTGCGCCAGGCCTTCCTGTCCTTCCTCACTGTTTAGGGGATACCAATGGGGGGACTTGGGGGGGATATTCAGTATGTCTTTGGTAAGGCTTTAAAAACTGTTTTGTTCCAAGAAATGTTTATACAGTAAATTGATGTTTTTCCTTTTTCTCTTGGTCTCTGGTGCTCTGGATTCCTTCTGCTACAGCCAGCTTTGTCTGAAGATAATGCTGATCTCCACTATAAGGGCCTTGGGAAAAATTAACCAAATCTACAGTTTTCAGGGTCCATCGCTACCTTTTATGGGACAAGATGGAATTTAGGTTACTCGATAAGAATTGGGAGTTTTGAGTAGACTCGTTCCCGGAGTGTCTGTGTGTTTGCTTTGTCCTGTGAAGTTTACTTGCTTGCTCGAGTGTCATCCATCTGGATCTGTGTTAGTACAGAGGTTTGGCACAAGGGAAGTGTGTGTGTCCACGGAGCAGCCAACCTTGCTGTTGGGTTCTTTCTGCAACTTCCCAGTTAAGTTACTGGTTTTCTCCCCTGTGCTTAGAAACCTCCCAAGCCTTGTCTACTCCTCATCCATAATTACTCTCACTTCTGAGTGTTTACTAAGTCTGAGTATTACCTGGAATGACCTTCAGTTGGATACGTATGTGGGGATCCTGCTGGCGAGAGGCTGGCAATTCAGGGCTGCTTGTTTGTAGTAGAGGTCCAGTTGCTCACCTCTGAGTAAATGCCTTTCTTGGTCTGCTTCCCCCGCCTTGGCTGCTCCCCAGGTGGGTTCCCACGCAGTCCTTCCCCTTTCCTTTGGGGTGGCTGCAGCCTGGAGATCCCAGGACAAAGAGCGTCAGCGCACTCATTGCAAAAATCCTTGCTATGTGGATCTCCTGCCCACTTGGTCATTTGGGGATCATTTTGGTCTCCAAGGCAGCCCCAGAGAACAAGTGAACTTCTTGGAAGAAGAAAAACGAGATTTGGACGGTATTATTTGAATTATTCTGGGAACTGAACAAAATGAGAGCTGGGAAATAAGTAAATTGGTTGCCAGCTGACCTTGTGAAAGGAAGGATTGACAAATTTGCCTAAACCCTTCAGTGTTGGTGAAAAGCACTTGGATGGTGTGTGCGATCCATCTCAGGCCCCTGTGCCTTGCTGCACCGGGCAGGAGTTGGACTATAGGATCTCTCAGATCACGTCCGGTCCTTCTACTACATGATCCCAGTTGACTGTCAGTGGTTGCACAGAGCCATTGAGTAGCTCTTCTCTAGGGCTCCTCCATCCAGCGTGCATTCAAGGACTGCACTTCGGACCAGTATCATTCCAGTCCCTGTTTAGTGAATTCCTTGCTCACCGTTGAACATGCAGGGAGCCTGTTTCATTTCTGCCACTGACCGCCCCTTTCTCTGCCCCCTCTTCAGGGCTGCTGATGGCCTTGGACATTCCCCAAGAGCGAGGCTTGAGCTACCTGGATCACAAATACCTGGATGGGCTGCAAGTTTGTCGCTTCCCCCTCTTCAACTTCCTGGAGCCACTTCCTCTGGACTGGATGTACCTTGTTTACACAATAATGCTGCTGGGTGAGGACCCTGAGCCCACTGGGGTTGTGCACAGGGATTGGAGGTAACCTGGGTGTGCTGGCCGAGACCCCTTCCTCTGGCATCCTGACTTTTGTGTTGTTTTCCCTGCTGGGCCTTGTTGCAATACGTGTTGCTGCCAAGGGCAGAAAGGACCGGGGCAGCCCAGCACGATCTTGCAGACTTGGAAGCGATCACCCAGGTTTGGGAAAATGGCAGGCAGTGCGACAAACGAGAAGTGTCACACCCGCAGAGTTTCTCACAAGGCAGGGGGAAAGGGGGGGAAATGGGCTGATGACTCGGCAGGAAGGGAGCTGGAGTTTTATAGGGGAAAAAGAAAGTAGTTAGGGAATCAGAAAATGTAGACAGCTTTGGCCATTGAAGATTTCCTGGTTCCAGTGTAGTCCGAAGCCCACCAGAAATCAAGAGTTGCTTATTCTGGGTGGCTCCAGGGAAAGTCATCTGAAGATAGAAGAGCAGGTGTGCCAACTTGCCAGAGGGAGAAGACAGTCGGAAGAAATAAGGTCTACCTGCTGCTAGCCATAAGAGAGTAGTAGCCATGCAGAGATAAAGCCCTTGATTAACTTAAGGAGTGGCTTGTGGGGAGGGTTTAGGGATAACTACAAATATAGTTATAGGTTTGAGTTAGACACTGCCTCGCTAGGAGAAACATTCCAAGGCAGACGAGGAAATGGTTCGGCTTGTAATGCAAGAGCAACAGTAACTTGATTTACTCTTCTTTTACAGTATACTGGACTCTTTTTGGCCAAAGCTGTAAAGAAGGGGGGAGATGAAGTTTGTTTCTCTGTATTAGCTGAATGCTGCATAATTAATCTTGCCTTACTGAAAACAAAGCCAAGACTTTCCTATGTGTGTTGAACATAAAGCAGAAAAAACATTGACGAGAAAGTGCTGGAGTTTGTCGGGTTGACCCAGAGCACTCCGAGGCCTCACGACAGCCCCCCTCACCTTCCCTCCCTCCCTCCCTCAGGTGCTTTGGGTATCATGCTGGGCTGCTTTTACCGACTCAGCTGCCTCCTCTTCCTGCTGCCCTACTGGTATATCTTCTTCCTGGACAAGACCACCTGGAACAACCACTCCTACTTGTACGGCCTCCTGGGTTTCCAGCTGCTGTTCATGAATGCAAATCGCTACTGGTGAGGCCTCATTGCTCCCTCTGGGCTTTGGCAAGGCACGGTGGGCTTTTTCCCTTCCGATCAACCCATTTCCTGTCGTTTCAGTTGCGTAATTTAAATTTGACCTTATCCCCAGCTTGGAGTCCGCTGGGTCATAGTAGGGAGTCACTTGAACAGCAAGGCCAACAGTATTTGCTGTGGCACAAGAAAATTGCCTTGGTCACTGGTGACAATACGAGGCCTCAAAAAGGAAATGTTGGGATTTTCTTACTTTGCATTGGGTGTCCAAGACACAGGTATATTTTTCTAGAGGCTCAAATTCTCCAGTGCAGGAATAGGACGGGTGAGCCACATTTCAGAGGGAGTGTCTTATTTTGCTTTCTCTTTCTGCTTCCTGTTTTTGACCTCTTATCCATTCTTAGGGCATTTTGCAACACATTTTTATTCTTCCCCGGAGAAACCGAGGAAAGGATTTTTTGCTTGCAGCTTGTCCAGGTCAGACAGCGATCTCCACGGCTGCATATCAGAACTGAAACTGGTTTTCAAAGATGAAGCTTTCTCCCATCCCTTCAGAACTCCATTATTGCTACAGATTGGGTGGTAGCAACGTTCCTTCTAGATCTGCATCTGATCCTTATCTTGTCCTCACCTTTTCTTTACCACTGACTAATAGTGACCGTAAAGCCTTCCTGCCAGTATCTGGCATTACCTGTCCTGCAAACCCTTCTAGCATATGATCACATTGCACATTCACAATTTTCTGTACTGGTTATGAGCTGGAAATGAAGCTCAGTTAACCCCTGTGAAACCCTAATATTCTGCAGACTGATGACCGTCTTCAAATTATAGAGGAAGCTGGTTTCATGTGGTTGCCTTCTGGATGACCCAGGAAATTATTAATAATGCTTCCTAATTTTGACCTAAAAACCAATACTTTTAGTAAAAATAAACTCTTAGTATACTTTGTGCTTCAGTGAGATGAATTAATTATTCTGGGCTATGTAGAATCAGGGTTGTTGAGACTGATGCTCAAGAGTCGGGATGTCCTCAAGCTAACTCACCCAAGGGTTTCTCCAGAGATTGATGAACCATTGGCCACTTTTCAAGACTGCCCCTAGTCCCTACTCTTAGTAATGAGCTTCCTTCCTCAGGTCGGTTGATGGCCTCCTGCATCCGCGGAAGAGAAATGCTCACGTCCCTTTGTGGAACTACACCATTCTTCGCACGCAGGTATTCTCCAGAGCAGTGCCATCGGCCATATTGGTTGCCTGTAGGAACAAAAGGTGGGCGGCTTCAGTGCTATGGATGGCTCCCAGCTAGCGTTCCTTGTCCTGCATTTCATACTGGCACCAAGGTTTCAAGAGGTCATATGGAAATGGGGGAGCCACCAGCTCTAGTGATCCCACTAGTGACCAGAGAAAGCCAGTAGGATGGTAAGGAGCCAGGCCTACCTTTCTCTAATCCTGGGCCCTCAGGCTTGTGAGAGGGCCCTGTCAGAGTTGCCATCCAGTTGTAATTTTTAGGGTGACAGAATAGGGAAATTATTAAATATGTTGGGAGTAATCATTATTACTTAATTTTAGGTAAGCATGGATACAAATGACATGAAATGAAATTGACCGCTTGTCCCATCCCTGCCCACATCTATGTTCTGGCTCCCCATCCTTTTCAGTGTGACACTCCAAAGCCATGTAGGGTTCTTGTCATTTCTTGCTGAACGTTGAGTGATGGAATCGGCCATGGAAATCTTTGTGAGGAGGTCATAATTTGGAAGGTGGTTTGGAAATGGCAGCCTCAACACTGCTTCCTGTGGCTAGTGATTTGTGCATCTCACTGTTCACCTTGGAGTCTCACATTGTTGTCTTTGTTTCTGAACAGATCTTCATTGTTTATTTCATTGCGGGCATCAAGAAGCTGGATGCTGACTGGGTGGAAGGCTACTCCATGGGCTCCCTTGCGAGGCACTGGCTCTTCAGCCCCTTCAGGTGAGTAATGGAAATCAGACAGAGAAGGCAGCACGTGGATTGGGACAGTTTGGCTCCCTCCTCTTCCTCCATCCCAGAGGTTGCACCTTTAGATTAACCCATCTGTCTTGTTCCTCAGGTTGTTGCTTTCAGAGGAGTTGACCAGTTTATTGGTGGTGCATGGTGGAGGCCTTGTGTTAGACCTCACCGCTGGCTTTCTGCTCTTCCTGGATGCTACCCGCCCCGTAGCCATATTCTTTGTCTCCTACTTCCATTGCATGAATTCCCAACTTTTCAGCATTGGTAAGTTCTGCAGAATCCAACTGTCCCTTTAAGAAGCCACACGAAAACTGATCAAAGTAGGATGCTGAGTGATAGGTCTTATGTTAAAATGGGTTAAGACCTGGACTTTAGTCTATTTTTGTGAAGAGCAGTCAACTCATGCTTGTAAAAACTGCTCACCTGGGATGAGTAGTGATGCCTTCCATATGGTTATGTAAAGAAGTTTTTGTTAAAGGTGGATTATTTTACATAATACTGCTTGTTGCTACAGATTTAGTGTGTGGTTGATGGAAGACCAGTACAACTTTGTGTAGTGATAATGCCTTGGACTAAAATTGAGGAGACTCAGGTTTGGTTCTGGCTGCAATTGTGGGTGTCTTTGAAGCAGTCAATCTCAGCCCAGCCTTCCTCACAGAGTTGGTCTTCTGGGGATAAAATGAAGGGCTAAGCTGCCTTGAGCTCCTGGAGGAAAGGAGGGCAATAAATCTAATGAAGTTACAAATAAATCTTGATCTGGGTTGCTCATGTGAATGGAAGCAATTCAGGAAGATTTCAACAGGAGTCTCTCCTAAGCACACCTGAAGATGCTGGGCGTCCAGCCAGATATTTATGTATGCAAAGCAGATGATCTGCCTTTTGAGTGACCAGCCTACACCTGTCCTTCCACCACACTCCAACTTTTCATCCAAAGGCATGTTCTCCTACACCATGCTGGCCACCAGCCCACTCTTCTGCTATCCAGACTGGCCACGCCGACTGATTACCAGGCTCCCTGCCTGCGTCCAAAAGTTCCTGCCACTTACAAAACCTCCCCAGCACAGCCTGGAATGTGTTTATCTGGAAATGGAGCAGCAAAGACCAAGGGGAGCAGCTCGGAAATTGGGGCTGCGGCAGAAGCTGGGCACCATTTTTACAGTTCTGTATATCTTGGAGCAGTTCTTCCTACCTTACTCACACTTCATTACCCAGGTGAGAAAGAACATGGTTATTTTTAAAGTATAAGTGGTTTTCAGAACAAAAGGTTTAGACTGGATAGTATTTGATTGATGAAATTTCCCCTAGTTCAGGTCCTAACAAGGTGGAGCTAGCCAAGGGACGGAAGAGATAGAGCCCCTCAAACAGTGGCTGTCCTGTCCCTTCCTCATAGCAGTATCCCAGCCATGGAAGAGGAAGGACAGGGCTCTGAGCTTGAACATGTGTGGAATACCACTAGCTAAATTTGAATCAGGGCTGCGGGGTTGAGTTCCAGCTCCTTGTAGCTTTAGTAGCCCAAATAGCCCCAAATAATCCAAAGGGAGATAGGAAGACTTGGGGAATTGTCCATTACTGGCAGGGGGCGAGAGGAACAGAACAGCAAGTGCCTCTTATTCTGGGAGAAGTCAACTCTCCCTCCAACAATTCTCCCTGCAGGGCTACAACAACTGGACAAATGGGCTCTACGGCTACTCATGGGACATGATGGTCCATTCACGCTCCCACCAACATGTGAAGATTACTTACCGTGACAGTCACACTGGGGAGATTGGCTATCTGAACCCTGGGGTCAGTCTCTCTTTCCTTTCAGTGTGCACTAGAATGATAGAATCCGGAGTAGTGATGGCTTGTTGGAACAAGGGTGTGAACATTTATTTTGTGCTCTACAGGAGTTTGCCACCTGTCAGGTTGCCTGCTCTGTGTGTGTGTGTGTGTGTGTGTGTGTGTGTAAAAAAGGCATGTGTCATGTGGGATGGAGTCCGTACAACTTCCTGTGCAGAAGCAATAAATGTGCAAGGTTATGTTTGGACAGACAGCTTCTTTAGGGGTCTGCAAGAGGGAACCCTTCCCATTGGTGCCTGCAGAGGTTATGATTTACTGATATTTCCTGATACATTTTTATGTAATCACAAATGTTCTTGGAGAACTACATTCTTGGATTAGGACATTCCAAGGCTGTCCTTCCGGAAAATAATTTTATATTATGGATCTGAGGATTTTAAATTTTTAATGACTTTGTTAAGATTTTCCTTCTCTTGTTTCCCATTTCTGCTAATCCTTCTTTGTTCCCAGAGAGAATTTATTTAATGGACTCCTAACTGGTCTTTTCCAGATTATTTAGCTTCTTTGCATAAACTAATCTAATGGATTTTATTCCCCTGAAGGAGCGATAGCAGGAGCCGGCACCATAAATTAGCTCAGCGAAGAGCCAGCTCCTGCTTTCCCTTGGGGTTGTTGCATTACAGTTTTTCCAAACTGCTCTCCGGCCTGCTGATTCCAGGGAGCAGGTCTGAAATAAAACCTGTTACCCAAAATATTTTCTCATACGCGAGAAGACCAGCCTTGTTGGAATCTCTGGAACTGGAAAAGTGCTCTCTGCAAGCTGTGTCTCTGGGCTGCTGGACACTTCAGTGGCCATTGTCTGTAGGAAGCATTCCTCTGAAGCGCTTATCCTTGTTGAACTCTTACTATATTTTTTTCAGAAAGACTATCCTAATTTTATTCCTGCAACAACAGCCCTGTGAGGAGTGAGGGACAGGCCTCAGATTATTCAGGCGGCTTGATGACTATGCCTGTGTGCTCATCAGACTGAAGACCCTATTTGATGTCCTGCCTAATAGTTTCCCACTTTAATTGCCAGAGGTGGTCCCAGCATTGGTGCTGAGCATGTCCAGGATGAGTGTCCCTTTGGGGGTCACTCAGTGTTCTGTAGCCGCCATAGCAGCCATGATGCTGCCAGTCCAATCCATCTTGCCAGGGCATATGCCACATCTCCTTTCCTCAGCTGGGCAGATTGTGACAGATTTAATGGTTGGTAGTTTTAGCTTCTCTCCTTTGTCACTGTCTGATCTTCTTCAGTGTTTTTAATTCTTACCACAACGGGAGTACTATTAAAATTATGATCCAGCAGATTCCTGGAATCTTGGGGAATTTTTTTCCAGCTGTTGCTTCTTATCTCATGGCTCTCCAAAAGGTAGAGGTCATTCAGGCAGTTAATGTGATTGTACCCAAGAGCTTCCTCCTGTTGAGCATCTCTTTGATGTGCCCCTGAGTTAAAAGCAGTTAAGTTTGGAAGGTGGTAGGGGAAGAAAATCCCTTGAGAAGTCCATCCAGATCAGCCCTGCTCTGTGACTCGCAGTAGCCGCTCAGTGTGCCCTCAGCAGGGCTTTCCAAATTTCTGAAAGGCCTTTTGATCGCGCTAGTTAAAAAAATTGGTGAAGACTTTTGCAAGACGCTTGGAAGTTAAATTGCTCATATTTCTTGTGATTTGGACTCTTTGATTGCAGCAGTATCAATGGAGAGATCCAGAGCAATATCTCTGCCAGTTCTTTTGGATTAGTTTAACGCAGTGTTGTCCAAACTTGGCCACTTTAAGATGAGTGGACTTCGACTCCCAGAATTCCCCA